GTAAATATCTACACCTGAACATTTCCCGCATATCAGAGTTTTGCACTATTATATTTGTCAAATTCTACAGAATAACAGACTTGTGAATCAGATCATCCATGTGTTCAAATTCTTCCCTTTGGTACTGGTACTGGTCAAGTCCCAATCAATTTGCACTTGAATAGTATTCTCATGCTACTTTTGAATATACAAATTTCAACATATTTCCCAGAATTTCTGAATGTCCAAATGGCCTATTTACCACATATTGCAGTTATCAATTTTGACTGGCAGTTGGTACCATTTGGTATGGATTAAATGATTCCAGCTCACACCATTTCCAACAATCCCTGGCCCATTCACACGTAAAAAATAAATGAAAACTTGTCTCATCAATGCCATAATTACATAAAACACATGTCCCTGGTTCATCCTCAAGCCAATAATTCATTTTATCAGCAGTGGGTAACCCATTATGCAATAGCTTCCAATTGAATTCTTAACATGTTTGATACTGGACTTTTTCCAAATTTTTCCCAATTATAGCCACCATTAAATCTCTCAGATATTTCCCACAACAAAATAACTCACGGCCTGCAGTCCATTAAACGGGGAATACCCTAACTATCTGGTGGTGGCTCTTGGATACAACCTAGTGCAGGGTCGGACAACCTTTTTGGCCGACGAGCCACATTAAGTTTACTAATAATTGCGCGGGCCACTTAACATGGTAATTATGTTCTAGTTTCGCTACACTGACCAAAAGTTAATGAAAAAACAAACAAAACCCTCGCACCAAACTTTCTCAATAATAAGAACAATAAAAAACGAAGATACAGAAAAGTAAACAAAGTTTTTTCTACACGTAGACATTTTAATGTGAAGTTTGGCACTGTTTTTCGCTAACAAGTTTGTCAATATTCGCTGAAAAGGACGATGTAGCAATGCGAAGCGAATTTTCCATATGACTGTCAGAAATTAGTGATCTCACAGGAGATTTGACATGGTTCATCTGTAAAAAAAAAATTGTACGAGTACGTGCTGTCAAATTATGAGGTAATTAAAACGGCCATTCTGCCCAAGTGTGTGAGCTACTATTTATGTATCGATATCTTCCAGTTGGCGATGTCACTCACGACTCGTTTGAACGGACTAGCAGAGCGCTTTTCAGAAAAATGAACAAATTGTTTGTATCAAATCTTCATATTTAGTACATCTCTCGAAAATAGAAGTTTTGCTAATTTTTTTTTATTTAATTTCGAAAATACAGCGCGGGCCACTCTAAACTCCTCAGCGGGCCACATGTGGCCCGCGGGCCACGGGTTGGACGACCCTGACCTAGTGTGATCCCGATTGCTCGCCATAGCACTTCACCGAAAATATTAATTAAAATATAATTTCCCGATCTTCTTGATCCTAATTGGACATGAAGTGTACATATGGATCGTTTTGTTATTATGTTGTTGTGAAATAATATCTTTGCTCACTACCTACTGGAGGAATTGCTTTGATATTTCCAGTGGTTAAAGATTGTATTTTTCGCTAAAAGCTATTACTTTCATTTATTTCAAAAATTTCTGCTGGCTCTTTAGGATTCAGTTTTTGTGTGCGATGACATCATCAAAATTTCTCCACTTTTTAAACTTTCTCACAATCCCAGAATCTACTGGTGTTCTAGGTATGAAAAACTTTTTATAAAACTTTAAACTAAAAATATATTTTGAATCCAACTCAAGGACATTTAAAATACAGCTGCTTCTAGACAATATCAAAATGAGTTTATTAAACTGGCAACTCCACAGCCTGATATCAATTCCACTTTTTGCCAAACAGTAATGACACGTGTTGTCTGCGTTAATCTTTATCAAAAATATGCATCAAATCATCTACAACTAGGGTCGGAAACTTTTTGTCGCTTTCGGGACAAAATTAAGAGTTGCAAGTCATTGATGGGGCGTACTTATTTTTAGAAAGTTGAAAAATGAACAGATGATACTTCTTGTAGTGTAAAAATCAAGCAGTGATACATCTCTCGAATAGAATATAGATTTATTTCCTCATTGCATTGCATCCCAAAATATTACATTCGATTATTTTCGGTGCCATTGAACCCTTTGCACTTAGCAACAACGTTCTTTCCTGCGTTTGTTGCCATTTGGCTAACTTAATCTAAACTATAGGCTCATCAAACGAGTAATTGTGTATTTTATAGTTGTTAAATCATTATATAATGAAGTCTAGACGTGTCTCACAATAATTTCTGTTACTATTATTCAGTGAGGCGTCGTGGGCCGGAACCGTCCCACGGGCTGAAGGTTGCCGACCCCTGAAATTGCCGAGTAACGAATCAAGCATGTTATAAAGACTGGCAGGCACTTCGCTACCATCAAAGAATATCTAATTTTATTCTCAGCTGGTCTAATTATGATATCAATATTGCAAACTGCCCCTGTGAAAAATTACGTAAATAATTCCAGTAAGAATTTGTCAAAGATAAACTACAAGCAATATAACGAAAATTTATATTTTCTTCCAGTGCCTTTTATACATAATGCAATAACAATGACAATTTAACTAACACAGTATATTTTATCAAGTTCAGTGAATTAGTCAATATGAATATACTACAATAATAAAATTTTTGAGAATATTCAATAAAATCATATTTCCCTCATTACAGAACTTATTGTATGTTAATCAGGAACTGAAATCAATAAATAATGATAATATTTCATGCCTCATTGGTTGCAAAGAAATTCATGAAACTTTCTCAAAATCATCCTCATTTTCAGAATAGAAATATCAGGAGTTGAATAATTGTTCTCAGCCTAGAGGCCACAACAAGTCTGCTATGACGTTATACAGATGATGGTATGAGATGAGCCTTACCTCAAAAATACAAAATGCTAATAATGCATTGGACAACAGTGATCAGCAGTGAGGTCATTACTAAGGCATGTTTGAATAAACACTACTCATCCTAAACCTAAGGGTTTTGTATTTACTTTTGTTTGTAATTATAGATACGTGCAAAAATTTGATATTGGATGGACAGAATTTTTGCAGTAGGGAACATGTAATAAAATTTTTATTGTCACTAACATAAATATTCATTTACAAAAACACAATTTTTTGGTCAGTTACTTAAAGAATAAAAAGCATGAATAATAATTAACGCATTTAATAAAAGGGCATATTTTCGAATTAGTTATATCAAAAAAGCAGTGAAATGATAATAATTAAAAAGTACAGTGATATCGAAGGAATGACAGTGATTTCGAAGGAATGAGCATTTAATATAAATACGGTAAGTGTTTTAGGTATTGGCTTTCATTTTAATTACTGTTTGATGAACGCCTGAATAAAAATATTGAAGCATGATTCACATTTTTACGTTGCAGGATGATATCTGTTTTTTTCATCACGAGCTGAAACTACTCCGCTTCTGAAATTTTCTCACTGGGGTTCAAAAAACTTCCACCCAACTGTGGGCCGTTAAACAATTTCATTCATTTCTCAGCTAATCCAATGATATCAACTTTATAAATTACTCCAGTAAGATTTCGTTAAAAGATCAACTGCAGGCATCAAAATAAAAATTTTATATCAATGACAAATTTCGCTAATGCATTTCATCAAGTTTATTCAATTGTTCAACATGTATATTCATCCAGATCATATTTCCTTTATTACAGAACTTAGTTTCTGTTAATTACAAATTTACATCAATCAATAATCACAACCGTCGATAAATATTCCAAGGCAAGTCAGTCGCAGGAAAATTCAAAAAAATGTCTCAAAATTACATTGAATAAACTTGAACATATTTTAAACCGTATTTGACTTATTCTAGGGCTAATGCGAGTCTGAACAAATAGTTTTTTGAATATTATATTACAAATTGGTATGTTATAGACTGGAACAAATTCTACAGTCAAATTTTAAACATTCCTCTAATAACTACAAAAATACGTACATCCAAGTTAGTTTTAAACATGTCCATTGTCCATGAAAATCCATTAAAAACCAGAAATACCATTCGAATATTTCCAGAATATAATTATCAGAAGATAAATCTTTGTTTGAAAAATACCAAAACATATCACTTATCTCTTTATACATATGATGATATAAAATGAACCCTTCTACTAAGGCAAGGTTGAATAAATATTAATCTGTATGCAATTTCAACTTTGCAAAAATTTGATATTGGATGGACAGAAACCGATTTGTGCAACAGGGCCATGTAATAAAAAGCTTCATAGCCACTGGCATGAATAATATAATTCATAATGACAAATCTATTGAACAGTTACCGTATTTCTTAAAAAAAGCATCAAAATTAATTAGCACATATAAAAAATGCATATTTTTGGAACTAATTATATCAAGAACGGAGTGAAACGAAATCAATAATTTAAAAAATACAGTGATTTTCACTGAAGGAAAATATTATTTAATATTAACCCTTTCTGATCAACAATTGAAAAACTTGAATTGTTGTGTTAAACTTAGATCAAATAGAATTTTTCAAAAACAATTTAGGTATTGTGAATGAAAGAATTTCAAATTATGAAACCATAGAACATATCGTAAATAAAAATTGAACGAGGTCAACACCACCATTATGGCATGTCACAAAATTGAATGAAATATTAAAAAATGTCAAAAAATGATAAATTAAACTCTTGATCATTATTAATTCAATAATATAATAAAATAGGGAGAATGGAAAACCATTAATACTTTCTGAATAACAAGTTCCTACTAACATTAAGTAATATTTAAGCAGTAAGGCAATCAAATTATTAATCAAAAACTAGTTAGATTTATATTGAAACATAAATTTATTCCAAAGCCAACTATAATAAAAAACAAGAATACACAATAAAAAAATATTTCATAAATTGAAATTATGTGGTTGAGTATTATAACACACAAAATCAGGTTATCAATTTACGGCAGGGATTTTCAGTAAGCATATGAGAGCCATATTTGTTGAGGAATAATAGATATCAATGTTATATAGATATTGCAACAGTTAATCTCGGAAAAATATTTTTTCCTTGTATAGTTTCGATGATTTTCCATTCTTTTGTTCCGGGATCATATTCCTCTATATTTGCAGAATTTCCATTTCCACCAATGACATAAACTTTCCCATCAATCACACAACTACTGAAATATTGTCTTGCGTTTTTCATTGGTTTCAACATCATCCAGGTTTTAGTTACAGATGAACGAAATTCAGCAGTAGTGAGAGTTCCAACATTAAAACCTCCCATAATATATATTCCTTCCTCTGTAGCAGTTGCAGAAGCTTTAAATCTTGCTTCATTCAATGATCTATCATCCATTGACCAAGTAGATGTGACAGGATCATAAATCTCAACTTGGTTTGTTGCTTGATATTGCTGATTCACTCCTGCAATACAAAACACCTTTCCATCAGCAGCCACCAAAGATTCTTAAGCTAGAATCAATGATTTGTTTGTTAGTCTGGTCCATCTATTATTTGATGGTTCATATCTTTCCATAATGTTTGAGTGAGATCCATATTCAATACCATAAACAAAACCATCAAGTGCAACTGCACATGCATACTCAAGATTCGTATTTGTCATTTGTTCCCACTTTGCATTTGATTCAGCATATTTAAGTCTATAAAACGATCCATTTCTACAAATCACATAAATGTAAGTTTCCATCACTACAGCAGAATATAATGTATTCTGTATAATTGCTTGAAATATGGTTTGCATTGGTGTCCATGTTTTATCACCAACATCATGAGAATGCATTCTTTGAGAAGTTTGATCAAAAACAACAAGCTGTTTATTCTCTGTTAAATTAAAATCTTTTGTGCTGAGATTTCCAGTACTGTCAAAAACTGACAAAGTCAATGACCGGATAGATTGCATAGATTCAAATATCAATGGCTCATTTTCAACAAGAAATCTTCTATACGACAAAGTCATTTTTGTCAACTGGAATTTCATCACCAAACTGAGAAAACATTCTTTTCTTATCTCAATATCATGTTTGGTCCATGCTAACAACATCTTACATTTTCCTTCTTCCCTTGCTTTTGCTTCCTTCGATTCCATCAGAAATGAAATAAATTTTGCATCAAGATCCATAAACTCATCAGACTGGGCAATTTCTATAAAATGCTTCAATGCAAATTGATTGCATTTTTTCTCAAGTTGTTTACAGTTGTACCTATTCGCAATTTTTTTAGTTTGAAAAAACGATCTAGGATCAAGATCATCTTCCAGAAAAATTGCGATACTATCACAAAGTCTTTGCAGTTGCATCATGTGAGCGACACCAATGAGTGTTTCGCGATTTTCTTTGGCAACATAAGCATCCCCAGTGTAAATGAAATCAACACATTTTTTAACACAAACTTCATCAAATTCCTTTAATTCAACAACACCAGATTTTGTTTCCACATTTTCATGAGATAACATTGCTTTAAAATAATCTGAACTTGCCGACACAATATTCTTATGAACAGGAAGTTCCTCAGATCCAGCTTTGATCATGAAATCACAATGACGTCCAGTTTTTCGATATTCATTCAATTGTTGTAAAATTTCAAAAGCATGTTCTTTAGAATCTGTATTGATTTTTTCTTCCATTTCTGACATGATTTTGTTTGATTTTATAAAGAACTGCTTATACAGTTATATGATTATAGCCTACCAATATTGATAAAGTACCTTAAACAATAGAAAAACTATATTAAAAAAAGTTATATAGTTTATAGTTCAACACAAACAAACCTTGCTGCCTTGCTTCATAAAACAATGACTACAATAAAATAAAAATATACCCAGATAACGAAAGGCAATGCTGCAATGCCTGATCAACTGAGTACACATCACAATATCGAAGCCGCCGAAGGTATGTCTGTATGTAAAGTATGAAGTCAAATATTGACTGCTTGAACTAAAGATCTTCGGTTTACCGGATGGCAAAATCACAATTACTGGATTAAGTAATTTTCAAATATTTTTATAAACTAAAAACTGACAAATAACACTGTAACATGCAAAACTAAGTTTACAACCCTGCGTGAATATCTATCTAGGTATAGGCATTGTCAAGTGCAGTTTTAAGTATTCTGTGGTGTCTGCAGCTGCCGCAAAACCATGGCGGTATTTCCATACCATGGCCGCTACGGCCAAACCTATGGCGACTGACTTTTTAGCTGCCACAAACCAACGACGAGAACATTTTGCTGCCGTAACCACTGCAGGTGGGCCGTAAAGACAGGGCTGTCCCTTATGGTGATAAATATTGGGTAAGTTGGGACGTTTTCCTTATGGATACAGTCTTGATAGGGCTGTCCCTTATGGTGATAAATATTGGGTAAGTTGGGACGTTTTCCTTATGGATACAGTTTTGATGGATTTGGGGTTAGAGTTTAAGTAGATATAATTCCGCATGATTAATTGAAATCGGGTGCATTTATTTGTGAATATACCGTTAATACTGATTACTGAATAGCGCTATAAAACCATGGCAATGCTGCCGCGGTTCGTTCGTGGCAGGAGCTGCCATGAAGTGGTAAGAACTGCGCCTCGGCATTGTTACACACTATAGTAGCCCATTTTAATAACAGAAACTAATAAAAAAAGTAAAAAAAAATTCAAAATATCAAACAGAAAACCAGATGCCAAACATCTGAACTTGCTTCAAAAAAAAAAAAAAATGCTAAATTTGGCGATAGAAAACCCAACATGATAGCCATGTATGATACCGGCATATTTTCTTTATAATATTTTATTTTTTAAGCCAATTGATCAAATTAAATTTTGATTACCGGTAGTTCTCATCCAAATTCAATTAGGTTAGATCCCATTCTCAGAAAATGAACATTTGCATAAAAATAATCAACCGGTATCGTATGGCCGTACTTATCTCTCTGATAAATGGAAATTAGCTGACACGAGGTGCAATAAAACTGTAATAGGAATTTCGCAAAGAGGAATTTTTTTTATTTTTTGTATTTCTTTTTTTGTATTATGCCATTATATTAAATTGTTCATTCCGAATCATGTTCCATGTTGTGATTTATTTAATACCATTTAAAGATTAGATTTATTTTAGTCTATGGATTGGCATGTAAACGAAAAAATTTAAAACTAATACACACACTACTCTACTCATATATGCACCCAAATGACACTGCCCCAATGCATGTAAATATCTACACCTGAACAGACACATATCCCCGCATATCTGAGTTTTCAATAATAACAATTATGAAATGAGAGTTTCGCACTATTATACTTGTCTAATTCTACAGAATAACATACTTATGAATCAGATCATCCATGTGTTTAAATAGAAGCAATTCTTTCCTTTGGTACTGGTCATCTGGTTCAAAGTCCCAATCAATTTGCACTTGAATAGTTTTCTCATGCTACTTTTGGATATACCAATTTCGCCATATTTCATAGAATTTCAAATGTCCAAATGGCATATTCACCACATGATGCAGTTATCAATTTTGACTGGCAGATGATACCATTTGCTATTATTTGGTCTGGATTAAATGATTCCAGCTCACACCATTCCCAAAAATCCCTGGTTATTCACGCGTAAAAAATAAATAAAAACTTGTCTCTTTAATGCCATAATTCTGTAATTAGGTACCGGTACATAAAACACATGTCCCTGGTTCATCCTCGAACCAGTATTTCATTTTATCAGCAGTGGGTAACCCATTATGCAATAGCTTCCAATTGAATTCTTTACATTTGTTTGATACTGGACTTTTGCCAAATTTGTTCCCAATTAAAGCCACCATTAAATCTCTCAAATATTTCCCACAACACAACACCTTACTGCAGTGGTTCCCAACCTTTTTTCATGTCGCGGCACACTATTTAGTTTTTTATATATTCGCGGCACACCCATCACAAAACATGAACATTTCCTACTCTTGAAGCCATTTAGCTATAAAATGATAAAAAAAACATAGAAAATCAGATGAGGGAAATTCTATTCTTGTTAATACAACATACCCTGTATTTAATATGGATGGTTAATAGTTACCGATATTATAACTGTTTTCCTACAATAATGTACACGAGACCCACCTTTGGAGCACCTCACATTATTGTATAAGATGCACGGGTAATACGTGATGCTAATACGCTTTGGGTTTTCTCGTCCCTGCCCGTTCCACGTTACGCATTATTATTATCACAGGTATTCTCCCTTTTGCACAATTAACCTAATTCATTTTTGTTACAATTTAATATGTTTCTCCCATTGCCAAAATCATTTAACGATGTTATTCTCTGCACTAGCAAAAGAAATAAAATAGGCAAACAAACCGTATTTCATTATAACAAATAATTATTATCGCTAAAAACACTGAATAGATTTAAAGTTGTTATAAATAATTTTCACGGATGGACAAATTTTTTCACATTATGAATTTCGTACAAGGCACGAGCATAATTTGATGACAAAAATCGTAGCATTTACTATGCCGAAACGCTTATATGACTTTTCAGACAGCAGAAACTATCCGAAGAATAACCGTTTCTGTGTTCGAGATATGAAATAATCGTCAATTCGTCAATCGTCACCCTTTTGTGAAATAGTGCAATTTACTAAATTTAATGAAGGTTTTATTATTAGTTTCGTTTCTTAGCAAGAGCCATGGGATCATTCTTGTGGAATTCAAGTGATTGGCAATTGGAATCACTTGAAATAAATTCAAAAATGAAATCTCTTCGCGGCACACAAAAATCTTTCTGCGGCAGGCACACTAATGTGCCGCGGCACCCTGGTTGCTAACCACTGCCTTACTTTTTTTTTTTTGCCAAATTTGAATCCATTGCCAATTCGGATTTATGAAAATGATAGTTTTGGTTTATCCAAATATAATATTTCAATTTAGTTGCACGAATCCCAATTTTCCAGGTAATTTAGGTGATATTATAGAGCATATAAGTATACAATACATAGATAAATATTGTCAAATATTAAACAATTCAGATACATTTACCCGTATTGATCCAAAAACCCAATTTAAATTGTGTCCGCATTCATCAAATGGCAATCCATGTAATCCAGTGACCATTGAAAACATTATACCATACAACATATATTTTAAGTTTATACATTATTATCATTTAATATGAAAAACAAATTTTTAAGAATTAGACAAATAATCAGAAGAACACCTATCATGCCATTAGTCTATGTAACCCTATTTTTCGTTGTATAAAAAAGTAGACATTATACCCAAAATTAGTAACTATGGTACACAATCCGGAGTCGTGAGATGGCTAATGATTGCAGAGTATTGGTTTTTAATTAGTTTGGAATTGATATTATAACATGATGGATTTATTCAATACATCATCATTGTGTTGGTATTGCATAATATTATTCCTGCATTCACTGTCCATCAAACTCATACATCCCAGTATTTTACATTTGAAAATTGCTCTTAAATTACACTGCATTTTAGCATCATATTTGACAGAGTTTCTTTCTGTATTGCCAGATTGCTGATTTGCCACAAATCACAGTCAACAACACAGACTTGTTTTCTATGTTGTTGGCTATGATTTGGTCTGGAGTAAATTGTCCTATATTGCACCAGTCCCAAAAATTCTGGGTCCAATCACAATCGAAAAAGAGATGACAACAAGTTTCCTCTACATTATCGCATAATACACATATGCCCGATTCTTTCCTAAACCCATATTTTATTTTATCTGCGGTAGGCTGCCCAGTATGTATGATTTTCCAGCTTAGTTCTTTATACTTATTGGGTACTTTTATTTGCCAAATCTTTTTCCATGGGATAGGTTGGATAAGATGTAGCTTGTTTGCAACATATATATTATGATCAATAATTTGGTTGTCCAATTGGTTTGATTGCAAGCATTTATATATATTTTTGGTTGTTAAATCTTCTGAAACCTCATATCGCTCAATTTCAGTTCTTGCCGATAATGTATCTTGATTTTGGCCAAAACTTCTTTCCAATTTGTTGGAATAAACCTCAAAATATTGCGTATTTCGGAGTTGCATTTCCTGTTTAATGCCATTTTTCTCTCATATGAAATATGTCTTTCTGGTCTATAGTAGATTATATTCACAAGATCATCTGAATTATTTTCTACAATTTGTCCTAAAGATATAACTTCGGCCTGAATCCATTTAGTTTCGAAATCTAAATTTGGCAGTTTGTTTTCTAACGACAGAAATGGATTAAACCACAAGCTTTCTAATTTAACCTCTGCTTGTGAATTGGGTTGACGCCATTGAAGATGGAGTTCCCTAAATTTATTAACTAAGTTAAATAAAATTTTGGTATGAGATTGTTTCTTGTGTTTTTTACGTCTAAATGTAAGAATTCTAAATTTCCTTTGGAAATGAAAGGGCAATATTTATTTATATAGTTTTTGGCACGTTTACTCCAAGGTTGCTCTTCACCTCTAAGTAGTTTAATAATCCATTTCAACTGAATAGATTTTATCTGTGTGTTAATATCCATCATATTTAATCCCCCCGCTTCATTTCTCCCTTAATGATTTTTTGGCCAATTAATTGTGGTTTTCCATTCCATAAGAAGTTAAACAGTTTTATTTGTAATTTTTTTACAAAACTATCAGGCATTATTTCGAACCCGGCTAGGTACCAAATCTTAGATAGCATTAGAGCTTTTGTAACAAGTATTTTTCCTATTATAGAAAGATTTCGGGCCTTCCACAGATTTATTATGCTTTGGATACTATTAAGAACTTTATTCTAATTTTTTTCAATGCAACTAGTGTTATCTCCTAAGTATGCCCCTAATATTTTAATCTCATCTTTTTTTACCTAAATACCTTTGTATTCTGGGCCAATATTCCAATTAATTGCATTTCCACACAATAGAATTTTACATTTTTGTTGGTTAATTCGTATTCCCGTACCCAATTCTAAGTGTTTTAAGACTTTCATCGATAGAAGCCAAATTTGTTACAGTCAAAGTTGTATCATCTGCGTACCCTTTATAAATTTCGATTTGCCCACTACAATTCCTGAATCCCAAAATATCTTTATTAGATTTAATATTGATTGCTAAAAGCTCAGCTATAAACAAACACAAATATGGTGCTAATGGACATCCTTGTCTCACTCCCCTTGTCAACAGGAATTCTTGTGACAAGTAGCCATTCGTATAAATTTTCGAACGAATGTTACGGTGCAGGGTTCGAATCCCATTTAAAAAATATTCTTCAAAGCCCAATTTTCGTAGAAGGCGTAATACTAGTTCTTGATCGACCATGTCATACGCTTTCTCCTGATCTATTCAAAAAATATAATAAGAGGTAAGTTTTGTTGGTTAGCCCAAAAGATGTCATCCCGAAGAGTTAATAAATTTTCATGAATTACTCTGCCAAAAATAAATCCAGTTTGATCAATTAGTTCTGGTAGTACATTTCTTAATCTATAAGCCAATAATTTTACTATAAGTTTATATTGGAAATTCAACAAGGATATTGGGCGCCAGTTTTTTAAATCATCTTTGTCTCCATTTTTATATAAAAAGTGTTATGACACCTATTGATGAATCATGTGACATTTCGGCTATATCATGGGAGCTTTGGTACAGAATAAGTAGAATTGGTTTAAGTGACTTCCAAAATTCAGCTAAAATTCTTTTGTTAAGCCGTCTATGCCGAAACAAAATGCACCGTGTTGTATTTCCCACAACACAACACTATCATGCCTGCCGCCCGTGAAACGGGGAATACCCTAACTATCTGGTGTTAGATTGAGTGGCTCTTGGATACCATCCAGTGTGATCACGATTGCTCGACAATGACAGATCCCCAAAAATATTATTTCCCCGATCTTCTAGATTCTAATTGGACATGAAGTGTACATATTGATCGTTTTGTTATTATGTTGTTGTCGTTGTGAAAAAATATCTTTCCTCTTTACCTACTGGAGGAATTGCTTTGAAATTTCCAGTGGTTAAAGATTGTATTTTTCGCTAAAAGTCTATCACTTTCATTTATTTCAAATATTTCTGTTGGCTCTTTAGTATTTAGTTTTTGTGTGCGATGACATCATCAAAATTAAAAAGTACTCCACTTTATAAACTTTCCCACAATTCCATAATCTACTGGTGTTCTAGGCATAAAAATTTTTTGAGTTTAGGCCATTAATCTATTTTGAATCCAACTCAAGGACATTTGAAATACAGCTGTTTCAAGCAAATATCAAAATGAGTTTATTAAACTGCCAACTTCACAGCCTGATATCAATTCCACTATATGCCAAACAATAATGACATGTGTTGTCTGCGTAAAACTTTATCAAAAATATGCGGGAAATTGTTGAGTGACGAATCAAGCATGTTATGAAGACAAGCAGGAACTTCGCGACCATGAGATAATATTTAATTTCTTTCTCAGCTGATCTAATTATGATATCAATATTGCAGACTACACCCCTGAAAAATTACATAAATAATGCCAGTAAGAATTTATCAGAAGATTAACTACAAGCATCAAAATGAAAATTTATATTTCCTCCTATCACTTTTTATACATAACGTAATAACAATGACAATTTCACTAACACAGTATATTTTATCAAGTTCAGTGAATTAGTAAATATTGATATACTACAAATCTACAATAATAAAATTTCGAAGAATATTCGATAAAATCATATTTCCTTTATTACAGAACTTATTGTCTGGTAATCAGGAATTGAGATCAATAATTAATGATTATATTTCATGGCTCACTAGATGCAAAGAAATTCATGAAAATGAAATTTTCTCTAAATTATCATCATTTTCAGAATAGAAATATCAGAAGTTGAATAATTAATCTCAACCCAAAAGGCCACAACAAGTCTGTTATGACGTTATACATATGATGGTATAAAATAAGTCTCACCTCAAAAAGATACAAAATACTAATAATGCATTGGACAACAGTGATCAGCAATAAGATCATTACTGAGGCATGTTTGAATAAACACTACTCCTCCAAACCTAAAAGTTTTGAATTTTTTTTTATTTGTAATAACAGATTAGCAAAAATTTGATATTGGATGGACAGAAACAAATTTGTGCAGTAGGGGCCATGTAATAAAAGCTTTATTGCCACTAACCTGAATATTTCATTTACAAAAACACAATTTTTTTGGTCAGTTACTCAAAGAATAAAAAGCATGAATAATAATTAACGCATGCATATCTTCGAACTAGTTATATCAAAAAAGCAGTGGAATGATAATAATTGAAAAATACAGTGATTTCGAAGGAATGAGCATTTACTATAAATAACCCCCACTGGATCATAAAGATGGAAAACTTGAATTCATGTATGGAAATAAAATCAGATAGGCCCCATCGTAAACAATTAATGAGAAGTTATGATTACAACCCATAACATACAAACCATAAAAAAAAATATGGTATTAATAATAAATATTCCCCTGTATTCTGATATATCACAAAATTGAATGAAATATTGAAAAATGATACATTTTCAAGAATTAGAGATTAAATTGTTGACCATGATGATATAAAAAAAAATAAATAAATAAAACACCAACTGTACCAATATGAAATTAATTTTCACTTGTCACTTCCAAATAAAATAGGTAATGATTAACTAACTAATCAAGCAATCGAATCATCAATATTGATATTGGCTATCTGCAAATTCGTTCTCAAGCTAAATGTATTGAAGAACAATAATCAAACAAAACTTTTTGTCAAAAGAATTATTCAATCTAAATATTACAACACAAATGATTAATTTACTGGTTTCCATAATTCTGCAAACAAATTTAATTTCAGAGTAAATCAGAAAATTGATAGGTATATTCAATAAGATTATGAGAGCAATAATTGTCAAAGTATAAGAGTAATCGATGTTAGATAGATATTACAACAGTTGCCAGGGGAGCTATACTTTTTTCTTGTATTGTTTCAATGATTTTCCATTCTTTTGTTTCAGGATCATATTCTTCTATATTTGCAGAATTTTGATTTCCACCTATGACATAAACTTTCCCATCAATCACACAACTTCTAAACTCTGATCTTGCATTTTTCATTGGTTTCAACATCATCCAGGTTTTAGTTACAGATGAACAAAATTCAACACTATTAGTATTACTATTAACATTACAACCTCCCATAACATATATTCCTTCCTCTGTGACAGTTGCAGAAGCATAATATCTTGCTTCATTCAATGATCTATTATCCATTGACCAAGTTGATGTGACAGGATCATAAATCTCAACTTGGTTTGTTGCTTGATATTGCTGCTTAGATTGTCCAGCAATACAAAACACCTTTCCATCAGCAGCCACCAAAGATTCAAGAGCTAGGATCAATGATTTGTTTGTTAGTCTGGTCCATCTATTATTTGATGGATCATATCTTTCCATAATGTTTGAGTAGCTTCCATACTCAATACCATAAACAAAATCATCAAGTGCAACTGCACGTGCATTCTGAAGATTTGGATTTGTCATTTGTTCCCACTTTGCATTTGATTCAGCATATTCAAGTCTATAAAACGATATATTTGTACAAATCACATAAATGTAAGATTCCATCACTACAGCAGAATATAATGTATTCTGTATAATAGCTTCATCTATGGTTTGCATTGGTGTCCATGTTTTATCATAAACATCACATGAATGCATTCTTCCAGAAGTTTTGTCAAAAACAACAAGCTGTTTATTTTCTGCCAAATTGACATCTTTTGAAATAGTATCCCCAAGATGGCTGTCTAAAATTGACAAAGTCAATGACTGAAGAGATTTTGCGGATTCAAATATCAGTGGTTCATTTTCAACAAGAAATCTTCTATATGACAAATTCATTTTTGTCAACTCAAATTTCATCACCAAACCAAGAAAATATTCTTTTCTTTCATCAATATCGTGTTTGGTCCATGCTAACAACATCTTACATTTCACTTCTTCCTTTGCTTTTGTTTCCTTTGATTCCATTAGAAATGAAATAAATTTTTCATTAAGATCCATAAACTCATCAGACTGAGCAATTTCTTTGAAACGTTGCAATGCAAATTGATTGCATTTTTCCTCAAGTTGTTTACAGTTGTACCTATTCGCAATTTTTTTAGTTTGAAAAAACGATTTAGGATCAAGATCATCTTCCAGAAAAATTGCGATACTATCACAAAGTCTTTGCAGCTGCATCATGTGAGCAACACTCATGAGCGTTTCACGTTTTTCTTTGGCAACATAAGCATCCCCAGTGTAAATGAAATCAACACATTTTTTAACACAAACTTCATCAAATTCCTTTATTTCAACGACACCAGATTTTGTTTCAACATTTTCATGAGATAGCATTGCTTTAAAATAATCGGAACTTGCCGACACAATATTCTTATGAACAGGAAGTTCCTCAGATCCAGCTTTGATCATGAAATCACAATGACGTCCAGTTTTACGATATTCATTTAATTGTTGTAAAATTTCAACAGCATGTTCTTTAGAATCTGTATTGATTTTTTCTTCCATTTCTGAGATGACTTGGTTTGATTTTATGAAGAATTTTATGATACTACTACTAGTATTGAAAAGACCTTAAACAATGGGAAAAAATAATTAATTTAAAGATACAGTAGTTAATGAGACATTACAGTCGAAGTAATTACAAAAAAAAGTTTCCATCACCAAGTACAACTGCTTGATCTAGACCAGTGATTCCCAAAGTGGGCGATATCGCCCCCCAGTGGGCGAAAACGATACAGAGGGGGGCGAAAAGGTCTAAGGGGGCGATTATGCGAAACCTGTTTTATGTTCGGCGCACTTAATTCTGTACTCTGTGTGCATTGGTGGCAACTGACTCTGATGACCCCCAAAGGTCGTATCGTTGCCCCCCAGTCATATACCGAAAACTATTTTTTTTGATATTTGTTTATGTGTGCATAAATTGTTTTCTTGGTTTGACAAAATGAAATAAACTCTCTCTCTCATTCGCAGGCTTGAATCACGTGGGCGATTATCACACGCGAAAGGATTTCTTGTCTCGTCTTCGCAGTAAGGCAAAGTAGTTTGCGTATCCCAGTGGTCGGCAAAATACGGCCGGAATAAAATAATCTGGCCCGGGACAATTCACTGAATGGACCTTTCCCCGACCTTTGACCGCGGAAAATTCTTCCCATACTTTACCATTTTAAAATTTTCGGTGCTTATTTTAAGAGTGGTTTCGCGAGTTGTTGCCTGTAAAATGGGGTATTTGTTTCAATCTATCATTCTAATATACACCATTTAACAATCTGTTTTTTAAAAGTACCGATAAAGAATTTTAGCCTAGTCTATCACAGCTATTTTTACACTAATTTTTGATTGCTGTATTTAAACTGAAACTCATAGAAAGACAAAGTAATCATTGACTTATTTGATTTATATTCAAATTTCCGAAAAACAACTAAAAACTAACGAATATAATTCAAAAACGCGAAAATGAGGTAATGTTCACGACCACGCCTGAAAATCTGTCTGAGTGAGAGTGTCTGAGCGCCTGCGAAAGGGGGCATTGTTACGTTTTTTGCATCTTGCTGATTGGCCAATGCCACGAAGTAAACAAGGAAGTCTATGCCCGGGGAAATATCCAAACGGCGGTTTTGACGATAAAATTTTTTTTATTTATAATCTACGCTCGAGGAGTAAATTACAATAATTTAGTGAACAGCCACTCGTTTAACGAGCCTACAATTTAATTATAATTAGACAAATGGAAACACGCAGAAAAGTTGATGCTGAGTGCAGGGGTTCAATAGCGCAGTAAATATTCGAATATATTGCAAAGCAATAAGGAAATAAAATTCATATTCTATGAGATTGATCACTGCTTAATTTTTGTAAGAATGTATCTTCTTAAAGAAAATATTTATCAAAATTTCACAAATCATGCGGAAATATTCACTTCGATGTTTGGAAGTACGTAATTGTGCAAACCATTATTTTCGAAAATGAACATTACAAAGAACAAGCAAAGAAGTGGGTTTGGTGACGCCCATTTAGAAAATGTTTCAATCTTGGCGTCGTAAAGCTATCCAGCGTGATGCAGCAACAAGACAGTGTCACATTAAATGTCATTGTAATATTTTTTTAATAAGACGACTGAGTTGAGTTCACGAATTGTCGCAGTTTTTGCGCGCTGTTCTGTTTTTAACTTTCGAAAAATATATGCGACCCGCAAAATACTAGCAACCCTGAATTTTGTCCTGCGAGCGACATAAAATTTGCCGACCCCTGGGCCATAGCCGATAGTCAGTCACGGCTTCTTCCACATCCGAGTCTATGAATCCAAAAACAAATGGCTGGTTAATTATGGACTGGTGATCGGACTGGAGGCCGTGATAGGATGAGGAATCGGGGATGAATTTTTCCGAAGTTTTTTGGTGCAGGCCATCAGGCTGTACGAATGAATGAGATGTACGAAAATCATTATTATAAGTTTGGGAAAATTAACTTTCGTTCTATTATTTTAATGTGAAATGGGGTGAATTTAGGAAGTGAAATGCTACAAGGCAAGAGTACACGGAGGTTTTTGAGGAGGTAGAACCCTGGATTCTTTCATTTCCGACCTATTATATGGTAAAAAGGGGGTTTTCAGCCGTGCTACTATTGCTATTAAAACAACGAAATCACCTTTCCATCAGTAAACGGGGTAATTTTAGATAAATATAATAAAAAACTCGCTGAAGAACACCAAGCTCATCTATCTCATTAAAAAACACTATAAACTATGATTTGTCTTCTTATTTGGTCTGTAATATATTCGTTTCTGACTTTATATTTTTTTGTAGTACAGGGGGGCGATGAAGTTGTATAAACTACTTTAAGGGGGCGATGGCCAAAAAAGTTTGGGAACCACTGATCTAGACCATCCTAAATATACCAGAATTGCTTGAACTGAGCAAAACAGAAAAACTTAAAATTTGTTCAACCAACTGTTGAATTGGCAACATAACAGATAAACGTTGCTGTACCAAGAACATCAAAAACACCTATCAAGTCTATATGTCTGAAAATACAATTCTCTTGTGGAATGTACAATGCAAGTACCGGTATCATGTAATAATAATAGTTTAATTTGGTTTGTTCTCGAGATGTTTCGAAGCCTAAAAACCTGAACTGACACTCCAACATAGTTTTATTATCTATTTATTCATACATATTGCAGTATAATGCGCCTATGCAAATGCTAGCTCATGATAGTATATGTTTCATTCCAATTCTGTTATTTCATATTTCAGTACTGGTATCATACTCTATATGGGCATGTTGAACAACTAATGTTTAATGGAATTCATTTTGTCATTAGCCTGTCTGAACCTGTTCTTTATCATCTTTTTTTCTCCAGTCCACTACGGATGATAGATGATTATAATTTCAATTAGGTTTAGTTGGATACCGGTAACAGGCCCACCATTAAATCTCCCTGCGACTTCACTTCCCAGTCTGCCAGTAAAATTATATTCTTTACTCTTTCGCATGTTTTTTGTATTCGTGTCTGTTGAATATATTACCAGTTGGAAACAATCAACTTGACTATGACTTTTTTTTTCTCGCCAAATAAAATCCAATGCCAAACAGAATTTTCATATTGAAGCTAAGATCTGAAGCCTGAACCAACCCGAAATTCGGGACTGGTCAGGCCTGAAATATCAATCCTTAAGTTTGGGTTGGGCTCCTTTATCGCTGACTCTTTTTAAATGAGGCGTTTCGGCCACGAGAGAATGTGGTTTGCAAAAAAACAGAAGTTGCCTCATTAACTCTTGCAATGACAATTCGATGAACTAAATAAAATAGGAACTTTCGGGTTTGCTTCGGGCCTGCAAATCCAGTTAATTAGTCGGGCTTGGGTCGGGTTTAATTCCCTCGGGCCTGGGTCGGGCCGGAATTTTTGGCCCAATCTTACCTTTTTTTTATATAGACATTTTAGTGTCGAATTAGTATAAGTTGCCCCAAATTAAACAGTTTTATAATTTCAATTGAATTGGCAACATGTTCAAATAATATATGTAACAAATGAGTTAATCCATATTATTATAGAGACGTCATCCAATTCGTGCACACATTTTATATATATATAAATTAATCGAAATAGTTAATTTATGCATAGAATTAGAAAATTAGACAGAAAACATCCAAAGTGGGTGTTTTGGCATTTTCTATTCACTATCTACCACTTGGCTCAATATCTCAAATATTTCCCACAAACACAACACCTTCTTTTATTTTTCACACCAAATAAATTCCAATGCCAAATGGAACACTTTCATAATTTCAAACAACCCATGAGTGTGCAGCAAGACTATTTATTGAATTACTCAGGATAGTTATCTTTACTCTCGCCACAGCATCCTTGCATTATATGCATACGGATCCACCGACGCAAAAGCATAGAAAACGGAAAAGTAGTTGATCTTGTAGAAACCCAATCGATAGCACAAGTTAACATTCCCCACAAGTTCAAATAATATATGTAACAATTAAAATATAAAACCATACCATCACCGGAGTTTTGTATCATATATAATACAATATATGTCAATTGTAAATAAGTTAATCCATATTATCATACAGTTGTCATCGAATTAGTGCACATATTTTATATATATTTAGCACTAATTGATCAATTTGGTTAATTTAGATAGAAAATCAGACAACAAAGTAGGTGTTTTGGCATTTTTCTATTCACTATTTATCTGTGAATTAAATCAAAATGATGCATAAATTTGGACATTTGAACCTTCCCATATATTCATCAAAGCTGGTGTTGCATAAAAAATGTCACATCATGATTGATCTATGTATGAGATCATCCATGTGTTCATACAATAATGAATCATTTCTTTCACTTGTTTGCAATAAATTTAAAATTTCTATCAGTTAACATTTGAAAATTGAACGCATAGTACTTCTACTTTTAACTATTTCATCCTATTTTACTGAATTTCGATATTCCCAAATTGTTGATTTTTCGCATACTATTGTGATTTATTTGCTAACATAGTATTTTAATTATATTCTATGCAACCCCATTGTCAGAAATCAACAGCCCATTGACATTCCAAAATGAAACGATTTTACTACTTACTGAATACAGCGCGACCCATGGGGAAATAGAGCGGAACAGAGGAAAACAGCCGCAAAACAGAGGGAAACAGCGCAAAGCAGAAAAAAATTTTCAATGAGTTGGGGCACATATTTTTTTTTCTTCTTGAGTTGGGGTACCACGGCAGCAAATTAAAAACACAAACCAAAGCATGTAGGCTGTAATGGCAGGTCTGCCCCTGCTAGTGACACATTTTGGGTAATGCAATTTAGGATAGGATTTACATATTTATCCCAGGGAAAGGAAAGCCGATAAGACGGCTTAATCATATGGCGCCACACCGCCGACTTTAGGGTTGATGAAAAAAAAAAGTAGATAAAATTTTGCATGATGATCTAGAATCCGGCACATATCTTTGTAAATATA